ATTCTTAAGAGTAAATCAACGAGGTTTGTGCAATTATTTCAGACTCTCTTCCTCCTCCTTGTTACTTCAGCAAACAACAAAATAGCGGCCACTCTCCCTTGTTAGATCTAGAGTCTTCTGGCTTTGTGATTCTCCATTAGCAAAATATATTTTACAGGTACCTTACCATTTTTAAACTTTATTTAAAGCTTTGAAACTTTTCGAAAAAAAAAAATCAATTGCAATGATTTGTAAAGTGAAAGAATCAAATGCCTGATTAAAATACAAACCTGTCCTGAAATTTTTATAAATTCAATTTAGCAAAAGGAATGCAAAACTACATTCTCACATATGTGTGCTGACAAAAGCTCAAAACCAAAGTTGCAGAAGGTTTGTTAGACCACAACGTGTTTAACGACTGAAACTGCACGTGAACAAAACACGGCTGTAGCACAGCTACAGAGCTTTCAAGGATTCTTTCAAGTTTTAGATAATGGTGAGCTGACACAATCACGATAATCGAGAAGACATACTGATAAAAAGAAACTGCCTGCACACTGATCTATGCATTTCAAATTCTCCACCCTCTCCCAGAGCAGGGCCTTTCTGTAACAGGTTAGAGCAGAAGATGGACTTTTGTAACCCAGATACTCAACACCATCGAGACTCCAAATAAAAGGTGACCATCTGCTGTAGTAAATAAAAGCTACTCCTCTACTAACAACTTCCCATTAAAAAAACAGAGAACAGTAATGAGCTCAACTTCACACTCTGAACATCCAACATCCTGTTTCTACACCAGAAGCTACACAGAATACCCACCATCTGAACAGGACTCCTGCTTATACAAGCTGTACACACCCACAGGAACAGGATTTGGAAGCCAGCTCAATATTCAGCAATTGCTTAATGAGAATCATATTGATCATCAAAAACAAAACCCCCAAAGCCCTGAAACAAATTTGCTATGGCTATGGGTTGAAGTGGGAGACCATAAACAATCAGACTACAAAAGCAAAAAGGCTGTATTTTTTAAATGCTTCCTATTACATAGAAGAACAAATGCAGGATGTGATGTTTGCTTAGTTTTATTAATTTATTTTTGCAGGAATCTGCAACTCGGAGTATGCACTTTCTGGAGGTACCATGCATGCATAGCCTCTGAACGCTTTTATACAATTTCATCTCTTAGTAATAAGTTCATTCACAGCATACACAAATCTAGAATGTAGACACCATATATACAGGATTAAACAGGATCGTGTCTTCTTTTTTTATGAAAAAAATTTAACAGGGTTTCACACAGCAGGAAATATGGATTAGATACACTGGTGCCACCATAAATAAATAAGTTTCAAGAACACAGTTTTTTAAAATCGGTTTCAAAGGTACTGAAAATCCAGGATTATAATATTGCATTAACTCCATTGACTTCTGATTATTCAAAACCAAGAAAAATATTCTCATTAATATTTATGGACATAAACACCAATGAAAGCTCCAAAATGAAGAAATCTGGCAAAATTCAGTCATGGCTAGCTTCATATCATATTGACATATTGAAACGAAACAGATGCAGCAGCACATAGAGACAGTACTGACTATGAGATGTGATATCTGTGCATGTCTTCTTTTGTTACGGGACTAAGAGTCACTGCGGAACAGCGCACGTAAACTCTGTGGGACCAAACAAGCTGACGAATTGTTTATGTCCAACTGTCCACTTCTCATCAGGATAGTCATTTTCACATTCCAGGGTATACCACTGAATTTTAAAACAAAAACTATCATCCTGATGACAAGCTTGTTTTTAACATATTTCATATTCTCACATTCTTTTTTAAAACATTCTTTATTGTTTTTATTTTTTGTCCCCATTCCAACTCAAGTATTTTTATTTCAGTTTCAATGGGTTTTACAATCAATATTATAAATGTAAAAGTATTCAGAAATTGAAATGAGAGATGTATAACTGGGACAGATAAAGTAACTGAAAGAAAAGGATGTTCTTTTTTTAAAAAAAGTGATTTAGTAGCATATCATAATCAGAAAGTACTGAGACCAGCTCTTTTAAGAATTATTACACCTTTTCACCACACCTCCCATTTTTCAAGGGAAACACACACATACCACAGACACACAGATACACAATTCAACCTGATCTAAGACTACATTTTACAAAGTACTTCCTTTTGTTTGACCTCCCACCCCCTTTCCTCTTCACCCAAACAAGACTAATAATTACATCAAATTAAAAGTAGATCCAAAGTTCAGGATTTCTTTTGGTTTACTATGTTCTGAATCATTTTCCACAAGCCCCACTCTAAATAAACTTTTAGAGAACTACAGTAGTATTCTATAAAGGGAATTCATCTTAATAGCACAGTAAATATAAAATAAACTTTATAAAATTTCAATGAACAGTGAAATCATTTTGAATATCCGAATGTCCAAGTCAGTTACAAACTCTACCACTCTAGTAGCATGGCTGAGGGAAAGCTCAGTCATTAAGGAAAAAAGAAAACACAAGTAGTGCATTAACTCAACACAAGGGCATCAGCATCCCACCATTCACACACACAAAAGTTTTATACAATACAGTGCATTTTGTATGCCAGCTGACATCAGGGTTTTATGTGCATTCAATAAATATTACACAAACCAATCTTTTTGGCATAATCTACAATTCATTTGGGGTGTGAACGGTGTCACCTGCTTTCAGAAGGAAAATGAATCTTCCAATATTCAAAATACAATTTATATTCTAACAAACTAAAAATATTCAAGCACCATGTAAAATCTTTACTACTAATGTCTGAGTGTGGGCATTTACACGTAAAACAATACAACAGAAGGGTTTGGGTTTTTTTTGTACAAGCAACAAATGAGAGTAATTGAAAAACTGGTGTAAAATTATTGGTACGAAGGAATTCATTTGCAATTTAACAGCACTCAGTCTTCCAAAAAGTATCTTGCTGTCACCGCAGCCTTCCTTGCCTTCCTCTGGTAAAGCTACAACTAAGATCAGCAAGTCTCCATTTATGATTATTACAGCTCAAGTAATTATTGGACTGCATGCACTTCCCCCCCCTTCAAAAGTAGTATCTAGTCTGTCTGAAAATGGCACAACTGTATTGGTGCATGACACACCTACTCTCATTTGCCGACTGTCATTTCAGTTGCTATCATTTTTTAATTCCGGCAAAAACAAATGCTTATAAAACTTCAACAGAAGTACAAATGAACAGAAAAATGAAATAATACAAAGGCAAAGGCATCATGATAAAAAAAGTCATGAAGTTACTGGTATTGTTTTGAGTAATTCATCATACAGCTGATAACAGCAATGGTACTGCTTATCCTAGGTATAATGATTCTGCTCATCTGTTTTCTAGTTATCTCCGTTTTGTCAGACTGTCCACTTACATGAAAAAATTAATGTTTACCTTCTAACTTGATTTGACAGTGATTTTTTACCCCTTTCCATATGTGACGAGCTCATCACATAGTAATATAAATCAGGGAAGGAGGGAAGGAGGGAAGGAGGGAAGGAGGGAAGGAGGGAAGGAGGGAAGGAGGGAAGGAGGGAAGGAGGGAAGGAGGGAAGGAGGGAAGGAGGGAAAACTAGCTCTGATGCCTTTGTTTTGTTCAGCAGTGGTACACACCGATTGCTGGAGATCTCTTAGCTTATTTAAAATTATGCTGAAGATTTAATTAGTGCAAGAACATACTGAAAAATGCCAGATAAAATATTGGTTCCTCATCTAAGATCACAGTTTGGTTTTTTACTGTTATCTTTATAAATCGCAGAGAGAGAAGACACCAGATTGAACAATGCAGTCAAGATGAGTTTTCCTCCATCCATCCCTTACAAACGCTGCTTGATTTTAAATAAGGATTCAGACACATGATTGTTCTACCATAGCTTAACGTGTTATCACACATCAACTGAATTGCGGCAGTTGACCATATGGATGTGGCTGCCATGAGCTAAACACAATCTAAAATGAAGTAGTTTACATCTCTTCTGGTATGGTGTAGCTAGCACTTTTTGCTTCACAGTTGCAAAGTCAATTACCATAATTCAGCTGACATGCTTGGTTGTGTCTCTGAATCTTGACAAAGTTATACCATAAAATCTCAAATGCACTGTACCAGCTTCTGACCAGTACACAAGAACACCCTACTCAGTTGCACAGTTGTGGAACATAATCATTCAGCTGCCCAAACCCATGTTCAGTTTCACAAGTATTGAGTGCTTTATTACAGCAACCTGAAGCATTCAAACAAATTGAACATCACCTTTATAATACAGTGTATCATATGCATAACAGTACCAGTAAGATTTTCAGTTGCAAGTCTTGTGTTCTTCAACCTACGGCAAGTATTTCCTGATCAAAGTAAAAAGAATGCAGTGTGTAATTTTTCAGGATCTGGCATGTGTCATTTGTACAGGTTGGTTTATTAACAATGTGCAAATAAACCTTTACTGAAGACCTAATTGATTAATTATTTTTCAGCTAGCTTTGAACTGGGGCACAAAGTACCTTCTGTGCTGTAAACATCATGAGTTCTTCACAAATTGGAAGCTGAAAGGGCCTAAGGAACTGGGTACAAACTCTTCTACACAACCATGGCTGAGCTCAAGTCTTCCAAACAGAATTTGGAGTAGTCTGCATTTGGCATATGTCACTGTGCTGCTACAGAGCACAGGCCTCAAAGATTGTTGGATGTAAAAGCATACTTTTAGCTTTGAAACACAACAGCCTAATGAAAGCATGCAGCAGTATTTTCATCCATAATATGGTAGAATTCATTCTTTATTACCAGTGTTGACAGCCAGGTGAGCACTGTACAAGCAAAAGGGATTGTAAAAAATTACCTCTGATTAAACTCTCTGTAACACCCATACGGTTTCTCATTTAGTCACCTTAGGTTACTATTTCAAACAGTAATTTTTTGTTGACATAAGTTACCCTGAAAAAAAGCAGCAATTACAAATACTCTTCTCCTTGTTTTTCATACACTGCAAAATTTATCGTTGCTTTTACCTGTCTTCTTTTTCAGTAGCTTACAATCTAGAAGCACAGGGAGACTTTGTTTTCCAGCTAGCTGTGGCCAGGTTAAGTCAGCTCTGGCTCTTCAGGTTTTCTGGTTAAGTGTAACATTTCACACCATTACTAAGAGTCCTAGAATGTTTTTAAAAAAACAGTAGGTTTGTTTTCTTTCTTTTTTTTAGAGCCACTAAGCAGTAACTATAACCACAGGACTAAATACCAGTAGTTATTTGCTCTCCTGTATACATTCTTCCCCAGATTAATCCTTTTACATTTTCAGGTTTCATTTTCTGCTTTGCTCACTACAATGGGATAAGACAGAATTTCACCCTTAATTTATTTATTTTTAGTGTAGCTCAAGCAGAAACATCTCAACACGTTACTCCCACCCCTTGCAATATGAAGATTGTTGACTGGCAAAGGCTGGGCAGATGAACTGAAAGGTTCCCCATGTTTCCTTCTCCTACAGCTGTCGGCTTGAAAGCCTGTTTTCAACCCAACGCAGCCCCTTCCTGATTTTCAGGTGTATCGGGGCATTTCACACTGCTCACAGCGATTTAGTGCTGGGTGATTTAGAAAGGTGCAGCTATCACAATTCCATGGAGCCCCTTCAAAGTCTTCATCTCTTGGCTGAGTCCGTGGAGTCTGTTTGGAGCTGCTTTGATGCTCTAAAAAAAGCCAAAGGAAAATATTTTTTCTTATTTCAGAAGAGAAGGATGATAGGCAAGATCATACTGCTAGTTCGTTACCTCTTTATAAATATTCTATATTAAAATAAATGTGGAACCCTTTCCACTCAGGTAACATTAAAAGCCTTTTGATAAAATACTTCTAATTCAGTTTGTGAAATCTGAATATTTGAAGTATTTCACTTCTGTAAAGAGTCACTTAACCATATATTACATTAAAACCAAAAAGCGGTCGCCACCATTAGGGCACTGATACTGCTAAAGGTTTAATAGCTTAAAACGTACTGAGAAGTTTCTTACTGGCACGACAACACCATCCTGTTAAGGAATGACTTCATAGGTTTCTGAACAGCAGTCTATTACAAAAATCTAAATTCAAATAATCCTGCTTTACCTGAAGTAAAAGACTACTTCTAATTTAGTTCCTGCAAATAGTCTGACATATGCAAATAGTCTGCATCTTTTTCTAGCACTTATTCAGGCTGAAGAAAATACAAAAATAAAATGGTGGTCCTGTTTCAAAATAAGATGATGTTTGTTTTTTTCCTCATGGCTTTGCAGCAGGGGTGTGTGTATGTGAAGCAGCACTTCAGCCTGTTTTCACTCATAAAATCAGTACGTATGCAAATCATGCATTAGGTATTAACCGACAGAAAGACTTGGTTTTCCGATGCCTCCTACCACCACTTCAAGACCTCCATTTATCTACCAAAAGTGACAAATACTCCTAGGATGTGGAAACACAACCTAGAAGGTGAGGTTAAGATACCTATCTGCTAAACGCACACCTGCAGAACAGCTTAATGAAAAGAGAACTTCTGTTGTAAAAAAGGACTGCAATTTGTGATTCAAAGTGCACACATTGCTGTTATCTGCTGAGAAATCCAGCGGGTGGCTGCTGACAAAAGTTAGTGCAAATAGTACTTAGGCTTGTCTTCAGAGACATACTTAAAGAAAATAAAAGTAACCTCCTTGCTTAGATGTAAACCCTCTCGAGTCCAGAAGTTGCGTAGTCACATTACCAGTGCTTGGCCTCAACAAACTCCTTCTAAGCAAGCAAGTAGTGCAGGCACTAGACTGCACGCATGCTGACTAGCCAGATGGCAGCACAGAGCAGACCCTGGTCTGCCCATACCTGTCTGCCTGCCAACACCTTCAACCGCTGAATATTAAGGAAATGGAACTTTTTTAAGTAAAAAAAAAAAAAAAAATTGATGACTTCATGTTAAAAGACAAGTTCAGAATATAGTACACCAGCCCTAAAATTGATTTGTAATAAGTTGACAGACAAAGCCAGGAAGCTAGTCATAGAAGTCGTATAAATCCTTACAAGACACTATCTATCCAACTGCCAAATAAAATCACTTTTTTCATGCAAGTTTTGCACATTATATTGCTTTGAAATTGTAAATCAAATAGGCCAGCGTAATTAAGAGAATGTCTTCAAGCATCACAAAGTAGCACTGTAATTTAACACGAACCCAGGCAACTGCCTTCTTGCCACTGCTCATCTGCTGTTACTGTCTTTCCTGGACACCACCACTTATGCAGGAAACACATCCCAGTACTGGGTTGTGTTCTTTTTTTTTTTGAAACATGAGCAGTAGTTCTGGGCCTTCTCTTTCTTTTAAATTTCCACATACTAAGCATCTTATTATACTGAAGTGTAAAATACTTGCTTCAAGAGAGGGGGAAAAAATTCCTTGTATGAATTCAAAATTCAGCTGCAAAAATCTTTGTGAACTGCTTTTCAGCAACCGATACTTATTTGCCAAATTTGGATTTTTCAAACAGACTGTATGACTACTGATTCAGAAGAGTGACTTCTTTCCCACTAACAATTTCAGTACATGCTAGTTACAGTAAGAGGAGACACAATATCATAAATCTTATCACACATAACATATTCAGAGAAAATACCACTGTTTTCTCTGTACCAGAGCACAGGATCCTAGACTGACTATTTCAGTAAAAAGACACAAAGTGTTTAAAAACTGCCACTAACATTTGAAACCATTCTTTCAACAGATTTCAGGAAGTAAAACAAAAGAAAAAGGTCCAAAAATACCTGAGGCAAAAGATAGGGTTCTGCTCCAAAATCACCACTAAACGTAGTGGAGTTCAGAGCACTACTGAGCTACATGGCCACCAGGTGCCTACCAACGGGGCGCCAGGTCACTCTGGGATGTACCGACTGAACCTCCACCGGGCAAAAGGTGAGACTGAACACATAGCTCCTGTCCTTAAGTGTCTTCAGCTAGATACGAGTCCTGAATACTATGCAATTAGCTCTCGCTGTGCTAAAGCTTCAGGGCTACTGTGAAATTCATACACTGCACCAGAAATAGGTAAAGTGTGACCAGTCATGTTAAAATATAATTAAAAATATAAATTAAAATTTTAAAAAGCTGCTGTGACCAATTAAACTTGTATAAAAGATCCCAACTAGAAGTACAAAATCCTAACAATAAGTGTTAGAAGACAGCTGAACAAACCTGACAGAGCTTTTATCCTAGAAGTATTTACAAAAGACATAATTAGGAAGCTCAGGTTAACACATAGAAGTTTGTGTACTTTCAACTCTTTTTCTAATAGGGAATAACAGTATTTACAAACAACATATTAACAGAACAGTCATTTGCAACAACCTGCCTGAGGAAAACAAGTTGCAGCCAGGACTACTGCACATACATAAAACCCTTCTGCTTTGGTTAGAGAGAAAAGTTATAATAATTAGAGTTGTTTCCTGTGATGACATGGGTTTTTAAAAAAAAGATGGGGGGGGAAAGCTTTCTCAGTGCCGATTAGGTAACTTCATGCTTGTTTGCAGACCTACCCTTTTTAAATGGCTTTGGTGGCACAACAGGACCAGGCTCTATGTTATCATAGAAGTTACACGTGGCTTTCGGATCAAAGTTCCCTGTCAGAAAAAAGAAAGAAAGCATAACTCAAAGTTATTTACATGCCTATGCCAGCGCTATGAACATCTAAAGGCTTCAGATTTTATGCATCTTTTTATTATGACATTATAGATTAGCTTTTTCCTGAGTAATCTTTTGTCATATTTTTTGGTTTGTGTTAATTCTAGTAATTTTTAGCAGGCTAATCCCATATTGAATGAACAACTCCAGTGTTCCATATTGCTTTAAAAATACGTGAAAAAATAAATCTTTCTGTAGGACACATTCTTGGTAAAACAGGACGTCTATGCATATTCTAATCTATTTGACTGTATTGATGTCAAGTTTCTGTTGCAGAAAGAGGATTTTTAAAGACCTAAGTAGATTTCTGCTTGCCAGCTTCTTGGTTTCAACCTGCAGTTCTGTATTGTATTACTTGGTCAGAGCCTTTGTCAAAAAAAAGTTAAAAATATAAGTAAAGAACCTTCATTAAGGAATTTTTTTTTTTTTAATTTGCTCTTGACAACGTCACTTTGAAGTCATCACTTTCTTGGTAATGTAATTTAGCTTGGCCAACAGAAATATTAGCAAGTCAAGTTTATCACGTTGCAACTGAAAAAGGCACCTTTTAGAGATAAGTTGATATTGATTATCAAAATTGACCTTTAAAGAGTCCAACTAAGAGTCCAATTTAAGCACATACCATATTAGAATCATAGAATCATTTAGGGTGGAAAAGACTGTTAAGATCATCAAGTCCAACTGTTAACCTAACACTGCCAAGTCTACCACTAAACCATGTCCCTAAGCACCACGTCTACATGTGTTTTAAATACCTCCAGGGACGGTGACTCAGCCCTTTTTCCCTGGGCAGCCTGTTCCAGTGGTTGGCAATGCCTTTGGTGAGGAATTTTTTCCTAATCTCCAATCTAAACCTCCAATGATGCAACTTGAGCCCATTGCCTCTCGTCCTATCCCTTGTTACTTTGAAAAAAAGAGACCAACACCCACCTCACTACAGCCTCCTTTCAGGTAGTTGTAGAGAGCAATAAGGTCCCCCCTCAGCCTCCTCTTCTCCAGACTAAACAGCCCCAGCTCCCTCAGCCACTCCTCACAAGACTTGTTCTCTAGACCCTTCATCAGCTTCATTGCTCTCCTTTGGATGCACTTCAGCTCCTCAGTGTCCTTCTTGTAGTGAGGAGCCCAAAACTGAACACAGTACTCCAGGTGCGGCCTCACCACTGCCGAGTACAGGGGCACAATCACCTCCCTACTCCAGCTGGCCACACTATTCCTGACACAAGCCAGGATGCCATTGGCCTTCTTGGCCACCTGGGCACACTGCCGGCTCATGTTCAGCCGGCTGTCAAACAACACCCCAAGGTCCTTTTCTGCCGGGCAGCTTTCCAGCCACTCCTCCCCAAGCCTGTAGCGTTGCATGGGGTGGTTGTGACCCAAGTGCAGGACCCAGCACTTGGCCTTGTTGAACTTCATACAGTTGGCCTCAGCCCATCGATCCAGCCTGTCCAGATCCCTCTGCAGAGTCTTTCTACCCTCACGCAGATCGACACTCCCACCCAGCTTGGTGTCGTCTGCAACACTCCCGCCCATATTTAAATTATGTTTTTAAAAAACTATCAATTCTATACCTCTAGATTGAAGGAGATCAACTTCTTTCAGTGTACAGTCAACATTTATCTGGAGCTGTCTATTGAGGCTTCTCAATCTGGTCATTTCATCAGGCTAGAAAGAAACATCCCAAAACAGTAATTGCGGGAAAGTCAGTATCTTATCTGACACAGAAATAACATTGCTATATTTTGTTAGCAGCTTTAGTAGAAACTGAGTATAGATAAGGCACTGAAAAAAATAACGAAGTTTCCACTGTCTGTCCCGTCCCTCCTACCCCATTTATTCCCTCAAAAAACATTGTTCTATTGGCATTTGAGGAGGAAAACAAACCAAATCAACCAAATAATGTCAGAAGTTTATTTATTTGCATCACACCAAGGAGCTCCAACATGCCAAACTGTCTACTCCAGTACGTTTAAATTGTTCAATGATGCAAGACAGTAATGATTTTTCACAGAATAAGCAGCTATTTAAGTCCACATATTTGCATATCTTTAAGAACGTCCAAGTTACTGGACTACAAGTGTTCTTAATGCTAGCAGCAGTGAGCATTAACATGTATGTCAGAATAACTATCTTATCCTAGGATACATTCCAGCATCACACACAAAGTTACAAAATCACAGAATCTTTGAAGTCGGAAGGGACCTCTGGATGTCATCTCACCCAATCCCTCTGCCCAGACGGCAGATAGCTTTTGCGTATCTCCAAGGATGAGGACTCCACAACCGCTCTAGGCAACCTGTGTCAGTGCTCAGTCAATCACACAGTAAAAACTGGTTCCTGATGTTGAGGGGGATCCTCCTGTGCTCCAGTTTGTGCCCAGTGCCTCTGGTCCTGTCACTGGGCACCAGTGGAAAGAGCCTGGTTCCGTCCTCTTTGCACCTTCCTTTCAGGTATCTATATACATTGATACAATCGCCCCCTGCCCGAGTCTTCTCTTCCCTAGGCTGAACAGCCTTAGCTCTCTCAGCCTGTCCTCACAGGAGAGATGCTCCTTAATCATCTATGTGGCCCTTCACTGGACTCTCTAGTATGACCATGTCTCTCTCTTGCACTGGGGAGCCCACTCCTGGACACCATACTCCACGTGGCTTCACCAGTGTTGAATAAAGGGGAAGTGTAACCTCTGTCTCCTTGCTGGCAACACTCCTAATGCAGCCCCAGATCTCACTAGCCACCTTTGACACATTGCTGGCTCATACTCAGCTTGGTCTCCACCAGGACGACCAGGGCCTTTTCCACAAAAATTCCTTTCCAGCTGGTCAGCCCCCAGCATACACTGGTGCACAAGGTTGTTCCTCCGCAAGTGCAGGACTTAGTACCTCCCCTTGCTGAATGGCATAAGGTTCCTGCCAGCCCATTTCTCCAGCTTGCTGAGGTCCCTCTGAATGGCAGCACAACTCTCCCAGTTTTGTGTCAACAGCAACTTGCTGAGGGTACACTCTGCCCTGTCATGCAGATCATTAAGGAAGATGTTAAATGGGATCAGACCCAGTATTGACCCCTGCGGTACATCACTAGTTACTGGCCTCCAATCAGACTTGTGCAACTGATTACCACACTCTTGGTCTGGCTGTTCAGCCAGTTTTCAATCCATCTCACTATCTGCTCATTCAGCCCATACTTCATTGGTTTCTCTACGAAGATCTTACAGGAGACAAAGATGAAAGCCTTACTGAAGCCTAGGCAGACAATAACCACTGCTCTCCCCTTATCTACCAGGCCAGTCTTTACATCCTAGAAGTTTATCAAATTGGTCAAGCCTGACTTCCCCTTGGCAAATCCATGCTGACTACTGCTGATCACTTTCTTGTCCTTCATGTGCCTGGAAATGGTCTCCAGAGTTAGCTGCTCCATCAGGTTCGCAGGGATCAAGGTGAGGCTGACCAGCCTGTAGTTCCCTGGGTCCTCCTTGAAGACAGGAGTGACATTTGCTCTCTCTAATCTTCGTGCACTTCTCTCAAACACCATAATCAATCAAAGATTATCTAGAGTGGCCTCATAATGACATTTGCCAGCTCCCTCAGTACTTGTGGGTGCATCCCATCCAGGGCTATGAACTCATGTGTGTCGCTTCGCTTAAGTATTCCCTGACCTGATCCTCTTCCACCAAGGGTATACCTTCCTTGCTCCAGACCTTTTCCAGGGTCCCTGGGACTCGAGATTCCTCAAGGCCTGCAAAGACTGAGGCAAAGAAGGCATTCAGTATCTCAGCCTTTTCCACGCTTTATGTAACCAGGTCTCACGGATCAATGGGCCCACATTTTTGCTTGTCTTCCTTTTGTCATCTGTATACTAATAGCAGCCCTTCTTTTCGTCTTTGTCATCCCGCGTCAGATTTGAGTCTTAGCTTTCCTAACCTCATGCTTGCACACTGAGACAGTGCCTCTGTGTTCCTCCCAGAACATACCTGTCAACTGCTGCCCTGAGACAGGCGAGACATACAGTAGCCATGCTCGTTAAGCAGCTAACAGCCCCTACCATGCCTTCCAGCCTACATTTGTGTGCATAGTTTATGTCAACACAGTGAGTAAGTCTGAAATGATTTGGCTAACAACTGCACAAAGAGGAAATTGTTTTTCAGTCTGATGAATTCTCTTATCAGAGCCATACAGATGTTTGGGCTGGAGTCACTTGCAGGCGGAAGTCACAAAGGTAGAAAAAATCAACAAGGGAAACAGGAGAGAGGTGCCAACTATTTGAGCCAACACCACCAATGAAAAGTTATTTGGCACATCCTGCACATACCAAATAGGAAACAGATTGTCTAGGAGATGCAACTACTCAAACAACAAAACACCTTTAAAAAAAACCGTGAAACCTTGCTGCATGAACACCAAGCTGTATATGGCTCCGGCTCTTTAAGCGGACTTGGACATACACTTCAACAGTGTGTTAGGAAAGTAACCATCTGTTCAGTTCTACAGGCCAGTAAAGCACACGTACACAAGTTTTAGAAATTCTGTTGTAAACACTGAGAAAGCTGGACACATACCTGCTTCTTAAATTATAAGAACTGGCTTATGACAAGCTAAGAACTTACAAAAAGTCATCTCCAAAGACTGAAGATGTTATACCCCAAAATATTTTTTTGTATAATACTTCAGTTCATGAAAACATAAAAAAAAAAATCTGTATCTTGAATTAAAATACTAACAAATTGCTTACGGTTGGAATTGCAGTTGTACAGCTAACTCTTCGAAGCCGCCTCTGCATTAAATCATGTTCCATACCATTGACTTCGGCTTTCAGGCGTTCGAGCTCTTCTTTCTCAAGCTTCAGTTCCTTTGCTAATCTCTCCATCCTTGCTCGTTGATGTAACAGCAAGGCTAATGTTTTACATGGAAGAAATAGTTACTAACACACAAAAACCTGGAAAACTGAATTCTTGACTTATGCATAAGATTCATGAGTGACCCTTCTGGAAAAAAAAAAGTGATCATAAACATGCAGCCAAATGTCACTGTGAAGATGCTTTCATGCCAAATGAACTACAATTTAGAACAAAGTTCTTCCAGAATAAAACCACATTTTAGACAGTAACTTGAAGTTGATATTACCATTTTGGTCAAAGCTTCTTTTTTTGCATTTGGTCTTTCTCATCTCAAAAATACAAAGGCACCTGTACAAGGAGACAGCTTCTCAGGATGAAACAGCAACCTAGTTATATTATTACTGTACTGACAAAAAAAACCAAACAAAACACCAGAGGTAAGATCAGAAGGTAAAACACATCCCACCTGCTGCTCAATAGCAGCTGACACACTACCCTTAAGACATTAACCAAACGTCAGTCTTGAACTGTTCTTTTCACTGCTATTACAGATTATGCTACCATAATCTGAAGTAGTCTTAGCTTTTCAGAGAGTGCTGCAATTCTCAATACCGTAAGTTCCAGAGTGCTCAAAGGCAAAACTATAGAACTTCAATAAAACAGACTGGAGTATCCAGAAAATAAAAAGTGGGGGCAGCTCAGGTGCTTGAGAGTCTTTAATTCTACAACAGAGCTGATTCGCTGTCCTCTAATCTCTCTCTGCGGTTAATCATCTCTCATATTTTTGTCACAGTACTGAAATCTACGACTCTCGGTCACAAGCTGATGTTGGGCTCCCAGAGCAGCCAAAGAAAGAATTTTGACTAGCTAGAAAATAATATTCAATTTCTGCAAGAGCAGCATTTCTCAGTATTTCATCATGATGCAAAACTGGCAAAGTTAATTAGTGTGATGATTAGCACTTTCTGATCTGGCTGTTTTTACCTGATTAAAATCTGCTAGGACAGAGAAAAATAAGAGAAATTTGCTGTGGGTATTCAGACAAGCACGCTGCTGATATCACAATGTTCCAGCAAACTGTTTAAATGTATGAAGACGTCGTAGAATCCGCAAAACGTTCTTTCGTACAAAGAACTAGCCAGCACCCGCCCTTTTCTTTACCCCTATCCGACACAGGTAAAGAAAAACCACATAATATCTCAAGAATATTTGCATACTAGCTAAAAAAAAAAGGTTAGAAAAACAAGCAACAATGTAACACAGCTTACTGGGGGAGGATAAAAAAAATAATCACCCAGTCAGGAGCATAAAAATGACAGCATTTTTTATCAGATGTCAGTATTCTGGGCAAAAAAGTAGCACTATACTTTGGATTTTGTATGGATCCACCAATTCACTGCCAAAGAATAAACACTGAAAATCCTATCCACGAACACTGTCGGATGTTTTTATAACACAGGCAGCAGTATTACTGAACAGAACTGTTCTCTACTTTTTAAAGTGGCGTAAGTCATCCAAGTAGAGTTTAAGAGATCACAAAAACAAAAAAGTAGAAATACCAGGCTGTATGATTCTCCACTATTATTATCAAACCTTGTCATTGTGTGACTCCTCCAATTTAACATCTGATACGAGTACATCATGTAGCTTCGCATTATACTCTAGTAGAACTCATCAAACTTGACCCACACTACAAAGAAACAGTGGGAGTACAGAACCAGAATGGATTTTGGTGACAGTTTTCACAATGGTTCATATTCAAATGAAAATTAAGTAAACTTGCTTGCTATATTAAGCCATTAAATACACTCTTCTTTAGGACTCCTTTGTGGTAGTAAAGAATATAATGTTTATTCTTCTACAATTTATTTCTATCAAGAGTTCAGAGCGCAGCAATACCAAAGGCTATAATAAAATCCCAGCTGTGGTAGGTATTGCCACAAAAGCAGATGCCCCAAAAACCATATAGTAACTAGTTCTATTCATTTTGTTTTCCAAATACACAAACATATGAAGGCAAAACCAGATTTCTACATTTCAGAATATGTTTTTCTCAGTTATGTGAAGCTACTTAGTTTTCTCACATAACTGACAATCTTTAATGAAGCTGTAATAGGAACACCACCAAGCAAAGCATGTGGCCTTGGAGTTGCAGACCTACTACTGCTCGTTCGCTCTAAATAACATTTCTGATTTGGTCTACCAGGTACCGAACAACTCTTTGTTGATGAGTCAGAATAGCTCAAAAGACACAACACAAAATAAGAAATCAGGAGCTACGGGGCAGCACTATAACCATTATTTGAGCTCTCTAAAGTGAAAGCAAGGCTAGAAAGAGCAATGGAGGAATAAACTCTCTTTTCCAAACACAAATCTAGAAATCAAGCACATTTTAAAATAATTGCTGCTGATTATCTTTCTGTCATTACCCCAAACGATTGGTTTGAATGCTTGCAGACTGATTTGTTTGCTCAATTTGACATGTTTCAAACCCATAAAGCAGATTACTCTGAGAAAAGCAGCTTTCAGCTAAAGGCTATATTTCATCTTTGGTCTTCTTTTTTGACTAAATTACTTAATTCTTCATTTTTACGTGGCATTAAGACTATTTTCTATCCCTATGCAGCAGAACACATACCCTAAAATTTGTCTTTGAAAACTCCAAGTGGAAGAACTGAACTTTTGATTAAGTTCTTCAAAATAATTCTTTTACTACCTTTCAAAACAAAAATATGATTTGTATTGACACCCAAAGTAATTTTAGCTGCAATCCTACCTCTCTCTCCTCTTTCACTTCATACTCTTCCATCTAAACCAAAGAAATTGGCTTCAAAGTCCCTTGCAGAATTTTGTGAAAAAAAAAAAAAAAAATTCCACATGTAAATTCATGACACAGTTCTTCAACACAGAATTTACAAACCAGACACACAGCATATGAACAAACCACTTAATCTTGTTAGCTGCAGTGTTTTCGTTTAAGAAACTCCCTTAACATTAAAAGCATAGCAACTTTAAGAACCTCAGAAATTATTTATTAGACTGAAATTTGGCAAAATCTTTTAAAAATCAGAACAAACTCTCTCAATTAGATGATTCTTAATGCAATTTCTATTCTTCTCTGTACTGGTTTGACAATTCTCACTTAGTAAGTAGCAAAATCAAGGTGAAAAGCCATTTTACAATAATACAGTTCTCAGGGTGAAACATTTACCTTGAGTGTAAGCATAGTCGTCTGATCCAGAACTAGAACTTCTCTGATACTTATGGCTTCCTTTTTCTCCTCCAGATCCTGGGATTACAGAAATAGGCTGAATAGGTTCTGGTGCTGCAGAGTGCTCTTCTTGGTCCACTAAATTTAAAAGATTCTCAGTCGGTGCTCGACCTACTGTGATTTTAAAAACGGTTGGGTTTGGCTGAGACACCATTACCCGAGGAGACTGTGTTGGCGCACCTGTAGGTCCAGTTGGTTGCGTGTACGTAATATATACCGGATTAACACTAAATGGAGGTTTGGGTTGACCCGACATACCTCTTGATGGAGAGCTTGAAGGAGGAGTAGTGGCTGTATACAGCGGGTGCTGGTTTCGTTGAGATGGTTGGTTACTTATTGGTGAAGGACTTCTGTTCATTGCAGTCCCAGGTCTTTGCGGCGGCTCAACTGTAATTTCTATTTTATTCATGGAACCTTTGGATAAACTAGGTCCAGCAAACGGAGGAAGATATGATACAGAGTGACCGCCTTGTTTTTGAAAAGTCTGGGATGCTTGCTGATAAGGATGGGGTGGCACAGTTGACGGACTAGGAGGCATGAAAACATGTGAACTCTGATGACTCAGCTGAGGAGGCTGAACTTGGTGTTGAGGAGACCCAAAGGGAGAGGGACACTGGGATGCCGGTGGAGATCGAAAAGCTGACTGAGGGATCTGGGGTTGTTTAGGAGAATACTGAGAAGGTTGGTAGTTCTGTTGATGTGGATACACAGGTAGGGGACGAGGAGTATAATGTGGAACCGGGCCCTGTGGCGATGAATGCCACTGTGTACTCTGAGGAGTCTGTCGTCCTGAAGAACTTTGAGATGTCTGTCTTATATAAATAGAGCCAGGAGTCCCATAAAGATTGCTTGGAATCTGTGGAAGAATTTGTAGAGCTCTGGGTACACTCTGTCCAGAGGGGAGGTTTTGTGATACTGTAACAGTAATGGGATTTGTACTGTACCGAGGTATGTGCATATACGTGGGAGGAGGGCCTTGCATAGCAGACGTGTTCATTCCTGGTTGTATGGAAGATGGCTGTGGAGGTGGCTGTGGAGGTGGAGTAGCTGCATTTCTATTCTGGTCATTCATGAAAAATGGATTGTAACTAGGAGAAGCTGCCACAACAGCGGGAGCAGAATGTGGTTCTTGAACTAAGCATATCAGCTGTTTACCTGCTGTGCGTTGTGGATCAATATGTCCATCGCTTGAACTGTGTACCAGTGTACGACCACCATTAAGTTGAGCTCCATCCCCTGCATGATAGCTGGTATGAGGATGAATACCCAGATTAATGTGCAAAAGGCTATTTCTATTCATTCTGGTGTCATCAGGGCTATGGTACTCCATATATAAGTATTTGTTGCTCTCCTGTGCAAGGGCTCGACAACAGGCATCTAGGTTGTTGTTGTTCTAGGAGTAAGAATGGATGTCTATTATTGTCAAACGGCAAAAGAAAAAGCCACTGCTCAGCATTCAACAAGCACTCAACTGACGCTGGAGTCAAGACTAGCTTGAACACTACTAGGGATAATATTCCACAAACACGAATTGTGAAACCAAGGTAATACCTACTAGGTCATAGTATGCAAGGAGGACATAGCTCACACTGCATCTAGCAAAATGCTATGGTAACACTAGCTACAGTATGACATACTAAAAAAATCAAGTCCGGTTTTGGGGAAAGCAATGGTTAGAACTCTTGGCTTTTTCTGCAAGCTAGAGGTACGTACAATTAACTACTTTAATAACAACATGAGCCAAATCAAACTAGATCAAAATTGCAGACTCTGGAAAGTTGAAACAAAAATGCAGATGACATTTTAATGTTTACCCGAGTATTTATCTTTACCTGAAAGTTTAAAAGCCCAACATTTTAAACCAGCTTCTCTTGGTAGAACAGAATTTAGTGTCTTAAAGGTGAAGTCAGAATAAGTATTGCTGGAAAAAGTACTGGCAATTCCATAAAGCACCTTACAATTCTGACATAATTTCAACTGCCTTTAAGAATTTCAGGCTCAAGGCTAAAAAAAAGTTTATTCATACATCAGTGAGGAAGCCAAATAACCCCTGTGAATGTTTGATTTGCTCTGTAGTGCCAGCAGCTGAAACTATACAGCCAATAAATTATGAATCAAATCAAAAGCATGATGGGGGATTCCCTTTCTATTCTTCCCCTCTCCACTCATTTTAGCTTAATATAGTCTTGTTAAAAGAACGACACGAATTCTAGCTTTTCCAAAAGAGTAAAAACACTAGAAGGGACTCCAGATTGTGGATTTTTGGTTTTTTTCCTCTTCAGTTTCTCACACAACAGCCTGTACCAGCTGTGGTTCAGTTTTTAATTTAAACAGTAGTTAAAGAAAAAAAATTCACTTTAAGTGAATTTCAACCACATCTGGCACTCACCACCCTCACTTTCTTACTTGTGATCCAAGACTGTGATACACAGCACCTCCTACCAGAACAAGCGTGTACATTTTTATACACACACGCATACATCCCCACCTTCCTTAGTGTGCTAAAGGTTACCATTCTAAGGGATATACATTAATGGCTTTACTTCTGTTTTAAACACTATCACTATATAAAGTTTGTATACATATATTAATACTCATGTGGCCTTGCAATACATTTTTCAACAGCCTATCCAGTTGGTTGAAAAGTTACAGTTACATTTCTTTCCTAAAGGACTGATACCTAGTTATTCTTAATATTAAAGTGAAGACGACTTTCCCAACATTTCACACGATTTCACTGTCGAACACATATATTCAGCATCTTCTCAGATGACAACTTACTGCTGAACATGACAGCAGAGTCCAGCACATGCATGGCTCTCACTCTATGGATACTTCTCCCTGACTACTTCCCCTTCATGCCAAGCTCTCCTTCTAGGCCCCAACAGTCAATGGGAATATCCAGGGGTATCACAGAAAAATTTAAAACCAGAACATGTGGGAACCAGACCTTGTAATACTAACGAGCACCACAGTGCCAAGACAGCAGTCTCAAAAAATTTAACTGCTACCATCAGCCACTTGCCATCTCAACAGGACGTCACAGAGTCCTCAGCTTCCTTAGGTCACTTTATCAGGGTGGAGGTAGAGAGAACATAGATAGGACAAGCTCTAATCTGATTTGAATGTATTTGTCATTTCAAAGGACCCTCAATTTTTAATAGGTCCAAAACTCACACTGATTTAAAACTAGAGCATGTATTGCAATAGGTTAATGGAAACCAGCTCATGTTTCTTAAAAGAAATATGAAGTGGGTTTGGAAACAAATTCTACACTTAAAAAAATGACAGATATTTGCAATGTAATGTTAACTAGCTATCCAGAACATCGTATTATAGATGTAGAACGCCATATGCTCCTGCAGCATTAGGGTTCTTTAATTTTATCAGTTTAAAGATGTCTGACTCAAACACAATTCATCAAAAGGATCATATACTTAACAGAACAGAAGAGATAACTGTCAGAGAAAGTAAAGCTTTATATTGCAGGGCTTCTCCCACTTCACATTTGTCTGAAAGCAATTCCTTTGTATTTGTATGGTTTAGAAGACACACAATGCAAAAATTACAGCCACAGTTGTAAGTCAACCTAGTCTCCTGCCAGGGACAGGTAGGGTGCAAATACAGCTTCGCTACTTTCATATGCAGCAGTTTATCACATTAGGTTCCACCTCAGCCATGATCACAGAAGGACAAACCAGATCTTACATGTTTCTATTCCATTCCTGAATCTTCCCATAAACAGAAGGTATTCCCAGATGACCATGACTTTGGAAAATGATGATGTGTGATCACTTACTATCACTTCTAATCTGTGATTTTAGATCATACTGGAAGGAAGAAATGGAAAGGAAAAAAATGGAAAAAAGAAAAAAATAGGGAAAAAAAGAGAAAAAATAAAGAAAAAAATAAAAAACCCCACCTGCCTCCTGACTTGGAAACAGGCAAGTATAAATAAAGTTTTGGACAGCTGTAGCAAAAAGATGCCCTGAAGACAGAAAACCTTTATATTCCTAGCCAAAGCCAGTTCCTTATCTTGGAAAAATAAGTTATTGATTGCTAAAATCTCCTCCAGTAGATGTACGTTACTTATGTAGCCATCATCAATAATCATCCCATTAGCCACTTTCTTTATTCCCTGTATGTATACAGTAACAGGTCACATAGACAAGAATAGTCAGCAGAAAACCCTCCACAAACATAAGTGAAGAATAATAAAATCTTTGTACATAAAAGACAGGACAAAAATGCAGGTAGTGGAGTATTCCACCCTTTCAAAAGAAAACCAGAAGAATGAAAATCTATGCTCCATGTATAGTACTAAAACGAATTTTCACACTACAAAAATAAAATACAGAGTCTCCTACTATACCTGAAGCATGCACTGAGATACCACCCCTTCGGGTATCTCAGGGAAACGTTGTCGGAGATCATGGAGTACCTGCACGTCGAGTTGTTGACTGCCCTGCGCCATGCCAGATTGATGATGATCCAGATTACCAAAAAATGGAAGTCAACAGGCCTTCCAATGATTATGGTCTTCTGAGGCTTCTGGCATTTTCTGTAAGAAAGAAAACGCAGTCAATTATCTTTTAAGCCACCACAATAACTTTCCCTCTTTCCCCAGCTGCATATGTGAAAGAATTACTGCATTACATTTTTAGATCTAGATATCAAAGGAGACAATGGCTTAAACATGAGTGGGAATCATCAGGTCTCAAATTCTAATATTGATACACAACATATCACATGTATGTCTACATGACATTTCACTGGAATGTGCTAGTTCAGGTTTTTACACTGTCTCACTGTGGTACCGTGTAGGCATAACTTCATCTGACCCACATAAAACGCAACTGCTACATATTCACTCCAAGTGAAATTCTGAACAGTTCTTAACAAAGTCTGAAGTTATTACAAAGCATACATGCCTTTGTTATTTACAACATGCAAGAAATAACAGGCTGGAAAACTAAATAGCACAATTATCCAAAAATAATCCTCTAGTAACGGGGATTAAACTATTTCCTCTTTAGATCACCACAAATCCAAGAAGTTGGAAGCAATTTTTTTGTGAAACACAAGAGTTAGAGAGAATTTAAAGAGTCCTTTTTAGGATTATGATAAGCATCTATTTAAAATTTTTGTAAAGCATCTATTATACTCATACTAACATGATTAGTGATAAAAAAACCCTCTATCACTTTCAGGATTCTTGTATTTGACAGCAAAAAGATTCTATCTGAACGTCAATACCCACGGACTACTAGAAGGCAAATACAGTCTGAGTCAACAAATGCTCTTCTCGCTTGTGGCTCACGATCACAGTGGTGATCAAAAAGTAGCTGAAGTCCAAGTGAAGATTCACAAAGACTTTGTGTGAAGGTGGTGCGTGACATAGCCCCGTAATGCATCTAAGCTTCAAAAGCCTTTCCAACATTACTGCTCAGTTGAATTCTTAACTGCAGAGAATGTAGTGCTGTGTTCATAAAAGGAAATGGAAGTCAGATACCACCAGAGCTGGTGTTCAAGTAATATATTAGCTACTCTAGGTCCCAAGTTTAAATCATGCTTATCTCAACCTCAGTGCAACTGGGGGTGGCACATAGTATAGCTATTCCAGTCAGCCTTCACTTGCTAGCTCAACTTCTAATAGCAGTCTAGAGCAGTACAACAGACCAGCACAGACACACACATACCTTTATGCACCAGTAAACTCCCAAAAGTTTCCTGTATCTTTCCTAATAAAGTCTCTTAGTTTTCACAGGGAAGAAAACAGAACATATATCTTCAAAGAAATAGAAAATGTCAGCTTTAGGGTAATAAAAGCTTTGGTGGTTTGGGTTTTTTTACTATTATTTTGAATATTTAATAAACACTCTTTTCTTGTTTCACCTCTTTCTAAATAGCACTTCCTTTCTCTGAAAAGGGGCAAAACAACAGCAACCGCCACCACCACAACAAAAACAAAAGTCAAGTCCACTCCACTATCTGGCTACTTTATATGTGGACAGCTCTTAAATGACATTAGTATTCATGAAATAGTACATATGCTTACAGGTAGGGTGACTCTCTGTCATATCTGATGCATTCTAGTATCCAGTATCTGTCACACATCACATTATTTCTCAAGATGAGACAAATTTAAAGAACAGTGAGATACACGATTTAAGAAATACTACAATAAATTTACATTGTATAATCACAAAGCAGCCCTGTCCACTGCAGTAATGCTGCAGACCCCTTTTATTTGTAAAGGAAACAAGTTTCCACTGACTACAGAAGCCAGGTGAAACTTCATATCTACACTCACAGTAGGGGATCTTTTATAAAACTTACTTTTTGGTAAATGACAAACAAACATCATACTCTAAAAGGCACACCACCACAAGAATTCTCAAAGAAAACCTGACAGCAATTAAGCTCTATGTGTTTCTAGACAACTCTCCTTTTCCCAGGAGGCAGGAGTGAAGTGCAGTAACGGAGGAGTATCCTACCAGAACAAATTGCAGTGAAAAACCCTGTGGAATAACAATGACAGTATCCGAAAATCTGAAATAGAAGAGAATAATTTCAAGAATTTCATTTACATGGGCAAAACCCTTTACATCACTTCTCTCTTCGAGTGCAAATTCAAATGTAACATGGGTGTGCAGACTGGAGATCTATCATCAATACATACAAAGTTTTTCTACAATGCTTTTATAATAATCTAAATTAATAATCTATTTGATTTCTAACGCTTCCTGAATATATGTGGTGAGTAGAGATGTAACACTCCAAGTAAACGGGAATTATTGGTCAACTATGAATTTTACCACAGAGTTCTCAACACAAATAATGGAAAACAGATTTCCATTCTCACTTCGAACAGCTGAAGCTTCTAGCCTTTACAGTTAGGCAGATAACCTTGAAAAGTCTACAAGAAACCCGAAATAACTCTCTTGGGAAGCATGAGCACACAATCATTCCAAATGCCTTGGATTCCACGGCTACAGTACTGTGGAAAATTGTTGTTTTTCAGTCGATACTGCAAAATTCACTACTGCCATATCTAGGAGCCCAGTATTTTGTCCTACTTATCATCCAGCATTTTGTCCTGCCTATTCTGCTGGACCTGCCTACAACTGACTGCACGTTTTCCACTCTAAACAGACACAAACTGGCTGGAATGCAATACTTGTTTCCCTTGTTGCTCCACAGCACCACACAGGTGGAGGAGCAAGTTGTAGAGAGAGTCCAGAGTTTACAGCGCAGACTACACAGCTGAGATGCTTCGACAACAAGAGCTCCTCCCCAGCCACAAGAGACTAGGAAAGGAATCCTTCAAAGCTTCTTTCTTTCACAGCATGCACAGGCTAAGGGACACGCCGAGGTGCACTACCCTACCATCCTTGTAATTAATCGAAAGTTCAGAGCAGAACACATCAAAAAACAACCCAAAGTCACAATGAAAGTAAGCCACTTCATGTGTAACTTTCAAAAATGAGTTGAGGGTATCAAAACTCTAGTTGAAAAGTACTTCACAAGGACGGAATAAATTAACATTGCCACACACACAGCAGTTCTAATGGCAAAACCAAAAGATATTGTTGCAGAATTGGTCCTGCTGTGTTAACACACAGAGATGACCTCAGGAGCCACTAGTGAATCTTGGGGATTATGCAAAACATGACTCAAGTCCTAAATGAGTACACTAATCAGTTTTTCACACCTTTTACGTACCCAAATTATATGTACAGGAAAATAGCATGTCAAATTTAATCTTATTTCCTTGAGCCGTATGTGTATCTTGCAAGTTAAGAAAATAGTCAACAGCTCCATCAGTCACCTGATGCTTCTTTTCTGAAAGAATAAAAAAGTAGAATTACTGTAAGTTTTGATACTCCCCACAGATGTGTTCAAATATATACAGAAGGAAATCCATTTCACTATTGTTATAATTGAAGCACTAAATCACCTAAAATGATGAACCATGAATCATCAGTAATAAGATCCAACTTAAAAATAAATTAGGTCAATACATACTATCTCAAAGTTTATAAATTATGCATTGGTGTGCAATTACAATGTATCCAGCAACTACAACAATTCCTGAGTGAATTTCCAGACCACAGGTTACCTGCAAGCCAGTTTTTCAGGCCCCAACAATTTAAAGTTAATTGTCCAGAGTTTTATAATAACACTTAGGCCTTGAAGCATAAGACAAAAAAAAAAAAAGACAAAACAGTAACAAACAAATCAGTTTATAAAAGCAACACCTCAAAGGCATCCTGCTCCTATACATTTCATGTAAATTCTTTCATCTTAAAAGATTATTTCAATCTTTAGATTACAAGGATAAGAAAACAAATGGATTTAAGTACAGCCAGTTTAAGAACCTAAATTTTTCCTCTGAATATTACACAGATGTAATTCTTAAATTTCATTGTCCTGACTTCTAATCAAATACATGCTGACACTCACATATAAAATGTGGATTTACTGCATGGCATTCACATGACCTCAACTCAGTATTTGTAAATTAATCTAATTTTTTCTTCCCTTTGTTTATCTCTCTTTGATCAAAGCGCTGGAGATAAATCTTGGCCTTCAGATTCATAAATGCAGTAGGAACTTTTTTACTTAAGCACTCATATGTCAGTTCCTTCAAACACTTGCACTGGACTGACAGGCTTTTAGGCACGAGGTAGAAAAGGATTCAGGGAAAGCTAGCAAAGCTGGATGTTCTACACTGTCTAAACATTTCATGGTATCTTCATACTCCAGTTCCTGCAATTCAAGTGGACAAAACAGTATCAGCTTCTTAATTATGGAATATTCAGAACAGAAAGAACAGATTTAATATTAACACCAACCAGTAAGCTGAAAGAAAAATGAACATATTTAATATCTCCACCAAGCAAAAGTGACTTTGACTTTAGAGACATTTAAACTCATTTGCAGTAAAGACGAAGTACCAAATCCAATAAACAGTTATACAACCCAAACTCATGACAGTAATTCCTAATTGTTATCTGTTTAAACATCATTTGCCAATACCACCAACTCATTCCTGTTTATATTTGCTACTGGATTTTAGGCATAAAACTTCTGAGTAACACTGGTATCAGTGCAACTCAGAGCTTTAACCCTGCTCCGAGCCAAAGAGAAGAGCAATAATGGTCTGAATACCCTCTCTGAACAGGAACTTTCCTTATTTCTCTGGTAGCGAATAGAGGGAAAACCGTGAAGACAGGAACTGATGGAAGTAGAAAAAGATACAAAATTCTAAAATTCAATTTCATCAATCTAGATAAAGTACAGAATTTTCCTTTCACCAAAAATGCTAGGGTAAATGAGATCATGTCCAAAAGAAAAATGTGATGTTTTTTTTAAATGGAAGAACAATAATAAAAGCTTAACACTTATTGGTAATTGCTTTACTAAAACATGACATTTTATTTTCAAAGCCATGCTAGACTAACTGGCTGC